CGATGCCGCTGTGCTGGGAGGTCCCCAGGGGTGCCGGAGGTCCCCGGGGGTGCCGGAGGTCCCCGGCACGATTTCTGAGGAAATCGGCTGGGGCCCCTTGACTTTTTGCGGCCGTTTCCCGTGCTGCCCATTCCGCGGTCATCCATCTCCCTCCCTCCACCTACGCACCGCTGAGGATGCTGCACGAAACACGCAACCGCACGCCGCTTTTCTCCTTACCCTGCAAAGCGTGCCTGCAGTTACCGGGTAGGGTAGAACAGTTCTTTGATACTGGAAATTTAATTAGCCCGTTTGGGCCAGTTACATAATTTTCCATCACCCTGTGTTTACTTAGGGCCTTTCCCACTTGAGCTCCTCCCCAGCATATGCCGCCGAGTGAGAAATTTCTACTGACGGTGCTTTAATGACATTATTAAGATAGGATGGGAAAGCCTTTATTTGAACATCAGTCTTCAAAATGAGGCAGCCTGACGCTTAGCCCTGATTTACTTTCCGCTTCAGAAAAGATCAGAGATTGTGAGCTGGAAAGCGCGGGGGGAGGCGAGGGGACAAGGGGCCAGCCTGAGGGAAAACGCCAGGGAAGGCCCCGGGAAGCCGGAGGTTAGCTGCACGCAGCCGGAGGGAGCGGGGACACTCGGCACTGGAGGCTGCCGTGTACGCTGCTCAGCTCGACAGCAGGATGTGTCCGGCCATGGTCCTCAGAAATTCCTCCGTAACCCCGGGACTGGGGCGCTGGCAGAAGTGAGCGGGGCAGCCGGTACAAAATAAACCTCCTCCGTTCTCCGCAGAGCTCTGCCCTTCGCAGCTTTTCTTGTCTGAAGGACTACTCAAAAGCCGGCATTTTGTAGAGCCAAATAGCGTGGGATTTGGGCTCGAAAGGCCAGTGCTGAACACAGTCACCGCACTGTGTTGACAGATCCCTGGTTCTAACGTTAGGGAGATTTCTGCTGCCGTTGCCAGGAGGCAGAAGCGCTGGCTGTGGGGTTTGGTTTTTTTTTTTTCCATGAGATTTGGGCACCTGAACACCTCAAAAAAAAGAGAAGCGGTCCGTGTGCCAAGGCTTTACTTTGCTGCACTTTAAACACCTCTGCAGAATCTGTCTAAGAAGGAATCTCCGATACTTAACTCTGCATTGGTGATTTAAACGGCGCACCCCGAGCAGAGCGAAGGCCTGGCCGGCGCACGCTCGCTTGGGCCGAACAGCGTGCGGCTGTCGCCCCTATTTATTCGAGCAGATCGCTCCCAGCTGGGAGACAGTTGCCCTGACGAACGTCCCCGCTTCGGCGCTGGCAGACGGAGGAGTCGGCGCTCGGCCCGGCCACGCCGTGACCCAGTTTCCTGTTTTCCAACGCTGAAAGGGACCCCGGTGTCTGGGCAGGGGTGAAGGGTGACTGCTCCTTCATTCGGCCGGCGCGCGGTGCCTCCGCAGCCAGCTGAACGCAGGCATTCACAGCACGGCCGTGCCCCAGAGGGCTGGCGGTGGGGAGGAAGCTTTCACGGCCAGGCAGACCCGCTCCAGCTCAGCTGCCCACACGGAAGGCGTTTGTGGCCTCGGGGACAAATATCTCCCCCGTGGAAACCGGCTCTCCCGTGTCTTCTCCTCGCCGCTGGTTTCCCGGCAGAAATGCCGCGAGCAGCTGCAGCTCTTGGTCGTGCTGCTCAGCCCGGGAAGTCACCCCTGCGCAGCGGGGTTGGTGGGGGAGGCGGTCACAGCACGGACAGGAGCTCGGGGAGGGAGGGGCAGAAGGGTCTTTGCCTGTTTTCGGGGGGGGTAAACCCAGAGCCCCTCGGCAGTGCGAAGCATCTTTCTTTTTTACTGCATCGGGAATAAATGGCAGTGACGGCAGACGGCCCGATGATGCCAAGTTTCGGCCTGATCCACAGCCCGCATCCAGTCCACGGTGGAAGAGCTCCCCTCCCCCTCTTCCCTAAAACAAGGGGAAAAAAGTGGGTTTTGTTTGTTGTCTAAGGTCAGTGTCTGGAATTCATCCTCGTCCCTCCTCGCAGGATGTTTTTGTGTAATCAACTATGACTCACGAAAGTCAAATGACTTGGACTGTAACGCTACAGCGCTTCCAGCCAAAGAGCCTCAGCAGAGGCATTCCGGCCGCCTGCACCGCAAACCCCAGGGCGTGGGGGCCAGCCGCCATCTCGCTACATATAGACAGGGGCCAAGTCAGACCTGACAGTTGCATTTACACCTAGGCAGGCTGAGCGTACGGCTTCCAGGTGTGAAACGTCACCCTTGGTGCAGACGAGAAGCAGAGAGAGAGTCCTGCTGCCGCTGGAATGTTTCGCGACGCGCTGCAGGCATGAGCCAGGGGGATCACAAGTCACCAGCTGTTTGTTTCTTCTTGCTCTCAGAGGAGGCTGGCTTCTCTTCCCCGTTCTATCAGCTGGTCTAGTGCCGATATCGCATCTTCCTCCAGACCTTGCTTCGTCTGAACCATCGCGGCTAATGACAACGCTATTGCAACGTCTCCTGGTACGCCGCTACTCCCCCGTTTGACAAAAGTCACGAGGAAACAATTTTTTTTCGCTTCTGTTTTGCCTCAGAAAGCAAGAGAAACTTTTGATGAGACTCGCGTGGAACGTAGGCAGAGATCCTTCGGCCGCCAGGAGAACAAGCTTCGAAAGTCCTGCTGCCAGTACTCTCATTTTCCTTTCATCCGGGGAACGCCGACGATTTAAAAAGCGGCCGTCAACGTCGGTAAAGGGGGCTGGGCACACCCCCCCGAACCCGCCGGACCTGGGCCGTGCCCTCGCCTTTCACTCTGCCTCCGCAAATGCTTTTATTAGAAAGAACGTCTGCGTCACAGAAACGTAGTTTTTAAACGTGAAAAGCGGAATACAAACGCCCTGTCTAACCCAATACCGGCCGGACCTG